GTGCGTGTGGATACCGGTAGAGGCACGACGTTTGGAGTGCTTGAAATCTCGATTTGGTTTATTCATCCTTCCGCTGCGAATAACCAGGTATATCCAAAACTCTAAGATCTAGATTTATTTCAGTATTTGCATGAGATCTAGGCAAATAGAATTCATAAGTTGTTTTATAAATCGTTATAAACCGGTATGAATTCCTACATTACCATTCCAGGTACCAAGAAGACTCAAGCATACCTTACCACAATTGTACAGATTCGGGTTTATTCTAAGCCCACCAGAATGGTAATGAACCATCTATCACCAACAAAAATGAAAAGTTCAAAAGTTATCAAGTGTTCCAATGATTAAAGAACACACTGAGAAAGTAGTTCTTGAGGACAGTACTGGAGGCACTGAAGGATAGGTATCAGGGAAGTGAATATCGAAAAAGAAAAGACCGTCATGGTACGGAGTCCCCTCGGCTCCAACAATTACAGCTCTCATAAGATCCATTCTTGATTCACATGCTCTCACAGATATTGTCTCTGTTTTCGAAAAAAAAAAAAAAGGAATGAAGTTTTAATACAAATGTTGCAAGCATTGATGTGCATTAGTATATACACCAAACCTGGCAAATCATTCTCAAGAATCTTCCAGTCTGCTTGAACCTTCTTCACCCAAGTCTTTGAGTGCTGATAAAGATAAAAGAGAGGCAGATAAAAGTTTGAATATCAAGGGTAACAATTAAAGAAACAATCCTATATACAGAATGTAACCATCACCTGCTTTGAAGCATTTCCCATAGAAGCATAGTGATGATCTGAGAAATTCTCAACAGTGTCAAACCTTTTAAAGTCCCTCAGAAAGATAGCCTGAGCTGAAGAAACAACCTCCACAGGTGCTCTAGGACGAGAAGAGCTAGCAGAAGTATCACGATTAAAAAAAGATCTAGAACTGCTTCTTCTTGATCTAGAATTCGGAAACCCCCAAGGTTGAGTAGTAGACATAACCACTTCTACACCAGTCTCTCCATTAGCCAAATGACTAAACGGGTTATGATCATAGAAAGAGCCGTCTTGTATGGCCTTCCCTTTGTTCTTCTTGTCGACAAGGTTACTACTGTTATTTCCAACACCATTGCGGAACTCATATTGTTCCACATCGATCACTTCAGGAATTCCAGCCTACAACAAGATCAAAGTAAATATATAAATCAATTGATATTCCTCAAACAAGTGAATCTAGCTAAGAGAAAACAAAAACAGTGGAAGAAGCATTGTAAACGTGAGTAACCAAACCGGAAACTCCACATAAACCCTAAATACACACAGAGATAACCATAGAAGCCATGTTTACCACGCTTCATTTTCTTCCATGTAAATCAGTTAACTTACCAACGGTAAAGAGAGTCAGTAGTGAGCAAACAAAACTCAAGAGTTAACCAAAACCAACATAAACCCTAAGAGGATAAGAGTTCACTTTTTTTTTCCAGGTAAGTCAGTAAAATTGGGCACAGTTAAACACATTTAACCGTACAAAAGGAGAGAGGAACCTTTCTGGCTTTTCGAGTTCTAGAAGCCGAAGGGAACATGGGAGGAGGGATCTCTACCATGTCGGGCTCCATTGACGAAATTCCCGGCGAAGATTGAGTCTCTCTGTTTCTTCCTCTGTGGATTATAGGATGGGAAAATGTTGTATTTACTATTATACAGTAACAATCTTTCTTGAGACCTTTCACATTCATTTGCGCAGTCCTATATATACACACCACCCTATTAGAATCAAGATTTCTCTTTTTTTTTTTCAATAGAATCAAGATTTCTCTCAATCTCTTTTCAAAAATTTAATTATTAATTTCCATGATACAATTCATGTTAAAAATACACAAAACATTTAAATATAAACTAGATTTTGATCCGTGCGTCCGCATGGGTATTGTACTTAGATTTTATATTTTTTAATTATTTTAATATGATTTAAGATATTTTTTTAAAAAAACTGCCAGTGTTAAACATTTGTTTAATGTGTATTTTGAACTTAAAATTGTATAGTGGATATGATCGAACTAATTTAATTATTGTCTTAAACAATAAATATTGCTTCATTTTGTTTTGTTTCTTATTATATTTTAAGTCATTATAATTTTTTTTGTATTTAATGTATTTTTTAAGAAAGATAAAAAGATAATAATACAATAAATATTTACTTATTTTTTGTTTTAATGTTAATTTATATTATTCTTATACTTTTCTTTGAGGAGCATTATACGTATACCATAATATTTTGAGTTTTGAAATATGGTAGTAGAAGTGGCTGCCGTCAATCGTTGATACGACAGTCACTNATTTTTTGTTTTAATGTTAATTTATATTATTCTTATACTTTTCTTTGAGGAGCATTATACGTATACCATAATATTTTGAGTTTTGAAATATGGTAGTAGAAGTGGCTGCCGTCAATCGTTGATACGACAGTCACTCATCGATGTAATGCATAATTAATAAGAAGTTAAACGAAATAAGAGGTAATATACTATTTTTATTCAAATAAAATACAAAGTACATATATAATTTGTTGGAGAATATCAATTGGATATCGTTATTTTAGTTATGATTTTTAATTGATTGGATAACAATTGTGAAATATTTTGTTTAGTTATAGAAGATTATGATTTACCTTAGACAGTTAGGCTATGTAGCATATATGTGGCCTGCAAGCCTAGAGAATAAATCTACCGATTAATAATATTAATCTTAATAAGTGACTGTCTGACTTTTTAGGAACCTTTAGTAAGATAATTAATGTTCGGTTTAATTATTTTCTGGTCGAATTTAATTAAGGATTGGTTTTAAGCGATTATTTTGGTTTGAAAAAATTAATGGGTTAGATCAGTGGCATGCCATTGTAATTATTTAGGAGAATTAAGGGTTAAGTTTTATTTGTACTTCACTTTTAATAGTTTAGATAATTATTTAGAAATTTCGATTTTTATTATTACATTATTAATAATATATTTTATATAAATGAAAACTATCCTTATATCATTTTTATGTTACAATTTATTTATCGTATATTTTTATATATTTTAAATATTATTTTGTTTATCATGCTAGAATGAGTTTTTTTTTCTTTTTTTTTCCTCAATTTTTATTTATTATATTAAAACAAATCTAACTTAATAATATCGTAATTTTTTTCAAAAACATATTTGGGTATATTACTCTAGATATTAACAAGTTTTCAAAATTTATCTATAACAAGTAATTAAAACTTAAACGAAAAACTAAAAAAGATTTCTTTTAACCATTTGTTAAAGATATTTATAGAGACGCTTAACATTCCTTTATTCTGAATTCAGTTTGTTTCATTATCAATGAAAAACGCTTATAAATTGTAAAACTATCATTTGATTAGACCTTAAAAACTTTATATGAATACGAAATCCATATGTTCATCACAGAAAACCAAATAACCCAGAAAAATTATTAAATAATAAGAATTTAATTTTTCTTATATTTATGAATAAAAAATTAATATAGTTAATTTGTTTTAAAGCAGATAGTATAGTATCTATTTTAAACCAAACCTTGGAATGCAGCAGCTGAGAGAGGTATAGAAGTAGGTTCTTTACTTATTCGATATCTTGGACTCCCGTTGACCTTTGATAGATAAGATAAGAACTCGGTTACTATCTTGGGCAAACAAGAGCTTCTCCTATGCTGACAGGTTACAGCTCATTAAATCTGTCATTTATAGTATTATCAATTTTTGGAGCTCTATTTTCATCCTCCCTTTAGGTTGTCTTGATAAAATAGAAGGTCTTTGTAGCCCTTTTCTCTGATCTGGGACAGTTACTCAAACTCATAGTGCAAAATTATCATGGGTGGATTTGTGTTATCCTAGAGAAGAAGGTGGATTGGGGTTATGAAGTCTCCGTGATTCCACTCGGGTCTTTGCACTAAGGTTGATCTGGCGTCTGTTTACAGGCAACTCGCTTTGGAAACCTTGGATACAAGTCTATCTTTTGCGTAATAGTTCTTTCTGGGATGTGAAGGAAAATGCTCAGGGATCTTGGAATTGGAAGAAATTGTTAAGACTTCAGGAGGTTGCTTGTCGGTTTATTCGTCACGAGGTTTGAAATGGTGAATCAGTCTTCTTTTGGTTTGAAAATTGGTTGAAGATAGGAAGACTTATTGATATTACAGGGGCGCAAGGTACGCGGTATCTTGGCATTTTGCGACATGAAAAGGTTTGTGATTATACTGATCAAGCACGTTGGAGAGTTGGAGGAGGGCGAACTCGAGTATTTCAAGACCTTATTATGCAGCTAAGGGATCATCTTGTTCCTCAGAGCGATTCTGGTCCTAACATAGTTCTGTGGAAGCATGCGAATGATGATCATCAGGAATGTTTTTCAGCTACTAGGACCTGAGAGCAGATCAGGGTACAACGAGATAAGGTTGTATGGAGTATGGTGGTATGGTTTCCCAGGCAGCCCCGAGATACTCATTCATCACATGGCTGGCGGTCAAGAATTGCTTATCTACTGGTGATCGTATGAGGGCTTGGGGTATGCAACAGGATTGTATGCTCTACGGGGAGAAGGAGGAAACAAGAGATCATCTCTTTTTCGCTTGTCCGTACAGTTATATGGTGTGGGTAACAGTGACTGGAAGGCTGCTAGGTAATCGTATTACCCCTGACTGGCAGGACACGTTGGATAGATTGCAGGGTGATCGAGGCTCCAGTCTTGATAAAGTGTTGGAGAAAATGGTATTCCAGGCAACACTCTATCATATTTTGTCGAGAAAGGAATACGTGGAGGCATGGCAAAACTTAGATACCGATGGCAAAACTATCTCAATTGATTGATAAATCCACGAGGAATATAATCTCTTCTCTCGGGTACCGGCATGTGAGCAAATTGGAGGGCCTTTTGAGACGATGGTTTGAGATTACAACATAATTTTGCGTTGCTATTTTAACATCATAATAGTTTTATTCAGTTCAGTCTTAGCTAGTATAATTCTTCTTTTTCCTCATATTGTAAATGTCAATTCTTTTGATTATTATCAATAAATTTGAAATTTCATAAAAAAAACAAACCTTGGAATGATAAAATATGTAAACTTATATATAAAATTGATATAAAAAGAACAATTTGCTCAACATTCATAAGAAATGTTAAAATAAAACATATATATTCATAACAAAGTTGATGTGATAATTTGTGCCAAAATTTGACCATTTGTTCATTTCATTCGCATGCACGTGAAAATGAGGAGAATGACATATTTGTAGACATATTTGACATAACATATTTGTTCATTTCATTCGCATTACACTCATCTTGGTTAAATAACATAACTGGAAACGTATTGTATAATATAATTGTCTTAGAAAATAGACAAAATTATACTATAATATAATTTATGTAGTATATGTACCAGAAACACTACAAGAAAACTCGTCCATTATTAGGACGGTTTTCCTCGTTATTTCCTAGTAAATGGCCTTTTACTAAAAAATTACCTCGAAACACGTTCATCGTAAAGCCATTTTCCTCGTAAGGTCCTAGCGAATTTACGAGGAAAGCTTTCCTCGTAAAGACGTGGTAATATTTTCCTCGTAAGGTCCTCGTAAGCTTTCCTCGTAAGCTCGTAGTAAGTATTTCCTCGTAAAGTCGTAGTAATATATTACGAGGAAATTACTAGAACCGTTTACGAAGACATTACTTGGAATACTTTACGAGGATTTTTCTTAGAAATGTTTTTTTCCTATTAAAAAAAATAATTACAAATAATTAATTTATTTTTTAAAAATAAAAAATCAAATTATAAATAAAAAATAAAAACAAAATATTTTATAAATAACTAAATAATATACAAAAAGTTTTTCAATTCATAATATACAAATAAAAATAAAAGAAACTACGGATGCTGGTCGTGAAATTGCTGAACGAACCGGTCGTCGTCCTGGCTCAAAAAATCCTCTCTATAGTTGGTTGCCGGCTGTGACTGTGATGGCGGAGGATGTTGGGTACTTGGAATCTCTGCACGTTCCCGTCTCTGACGCAACATCTCCTGCACTTGCGGGTTTCCAACCGCCATAATGTCGCGGATATCGGTGAGAGAAGTGACATGCTCGGTGAGCGAAGTCACATGAGACTGCGTCGCCTGCAACTCCGAGCGCAGCTGAACATTGACATCGTGCTGCTCCTTATGATAAGACGATGTCGCTGAAGGGACATCGTTAACCGAGCCAATCCCGATGATACGCCCCTTTTTCCTAGGGGCGACCTGAAAATAAAAATATTAATAACATTAAGAAAAATTTAAAAAATATTAAAAATTAATAGTAAAACAAATTATTTACCTCCTCGTAAATCTTATCCACGTCAACAGTGGATAATATGACTGGAGACCCAGTCTGCTGAGTCAG